AAAGGGGTGATATCTATTGATCTTAATTAGATATACAGACCAGAACTCTGAGAGGGGCTCCGTTGAGCTCCTTCGGCGACAGGCTCCCACTCCCAACCCCCTTTCTTGAGTGGGTATCCTCAGAGCATCCCAGCTCAATGGTTCTCCTACCTATCTTTTCTTGAAAACTGTTAGTTTCAAGGGCGGGGGCCAACTATTCCACTTCTTCTCACAGTCAGGAAATTCTTCCTTATGTAAACTAGGCTGGATTTGTAAAACTTCCATTCTTGTCCTACCCTCCCATTAGCCTTCTCTTCTTTAGGCTAAAAATACACAGTTCTTACCAGCACTCTTGTTCAGGATTTTGCATCCAAGCCCCTCACCATTTTTGTTGCCCAGCATCCCTTTTGTATTGTGGCAAGCAGGCTTGGACCTGGTGTTCTACTCCAAGATGTCTTATCAGCACTCATTCTTGGTGCTTCTTGTTTTATCTGATTCTTAAGCCACTAGTTCCTTGCAACTGTATAGATTAAGTTAGCAGCTTAATTAATAATTACACTCTCAAATGTGTCACCTTTCTAGACAGTTCAGGCTTCTCATTTTTCTTCTGCTTTGAGCTATTGTAGCTTAATAGAGGATTCATAAGTCAGTTTGCCAAACTGCACAAAAGTCTGCAAGAGATTTATTCAGTTTCTCTAAAAGGACCGCAGAGCTGCTCATGCGCTGGAAATAATTGCTAAACCTTATTTCTGGTAACAAGGATGGCAAAATATTGAATACAGCAAGTATAAAGGCTCTGTGGGGAGTCATTCTAGGTAATTGGCTTGGGAGAGAGATCTCCCAATCAAGCTACTTAATTCAAGGTGGCTTGAAAATAGTCTGCACCAAATGCCAAGCATGCCAGGGGTCATAGGGCAGTCAACTCCTAAGCATCTTGGTCTGGAAGTATTAAAAAGGTGCAGATGGTTCCAATCCCAGAGAATAGCATCATGGGTAGAAAAGTTTCATGACATGGTTATTGATTGTTCCTTTTTAAAGTTGCAGTTTCTGCTTTCTCGGAATAACCAGATTTTTCTCATCCAGTGTGATGAACTAGGAATAACAAGTGGGAAATCATAAGGATACGTTGAAGCACTATGAAATGGTATATAAGTCTAAGTGCTATTGCTATAAGTTGCATTTTATCTAGCACTTTATCCATCTCTTCAGGCTGCAACAATAAAAGGCTTCCATATGCATAAGACTAAATCAGCAGTTGGTCAAGGGCTGTAATAGTGATGCCTGATCTATAGGCCGTGTCAGTTCTGGGTTCCACAGAAACTATCAAGGGGAGTATTATAAATCCCATGATATGATATTACTCTTGGGTGTTAAAAGAAAAATCTTACTCTTGTTGTCAGGAACACAAAAGTAGGCTGTTGTAATACTGGACAAGCCCCATGGCTGCTTGGCAACCTTCCATAGCCAAGGGGATCTGCAAGCTGCTAAAAGTCATTTATCAAACATCAGGAGGGACAGAGAGTATGGCTGAAGCAGGGTTTTTATTCTATATAGGTTGGAGAAGGAGAAAGCAGAGATTGAACGGGTACGGAATTTGACCGAGGAAGAACGCCGGGCCGAGCTCCGAGCCAATGGCAAGGTCATCACCAATAAGGCTGTGAAGGGCAAATACAAGTTCCTGCAGAAATATTATCACCGCGGTGCCTTCTTCATGGTAAGCATTTTGCCCCAAAACTGAGAGGATCAAATAGCTGTTCAATAGCCAGACCTGCCTTTTGTCATCCTTGTATAAGTTTTGTCAATATTTCATCCCCTCTGCAAAATGGAACATTGGGGGTCCTTTTCCTATGCCCAATAGTTCTCAAACTTCCCTGTGCTCAGGTGTGCTCTTGCTTCTTCAGGATGAAGATGAGGATGTGTACAAGAGGGACTTCAGTGCACCAACTCTAGAGGATCACTTCAACAAGACAATCTTACCTAAAGTCATGCAAGTAAGTGGGAAAGGACCCGGTTGCGAATTGAGGATAAGCTTTGTGGCTCCCACCAGCATTCTCTGGGCAGCATCAGTGCCAGGTGAGCAATTCTAGAGACCTCATCTCAAATCCTTCCCACACTTTCTTCTCTTTGCAATCCAGGTGAAGAACTTTGGGCGTTCTGGACGGACTAAATACACCCACCTGGTGGACCAGGACACAACTTCCTTCGACTCTGCTTGGGGGCAGGAGAGTGCCCAGAATACAAAGTTCTTCAAGCAGAAGGCAGCTGGCGTGCGGGATGTCTTTGAGAGACCTTCTGCTAAGAAGCGGAAAGTGACTTGAATGGATAAGGATCATCCAGATCCCTCTTTTAGCTCTGGCTCAACTACTTTGTTACTTGGGACCACAAAATATTTTCATTGGCTTGAATCGATTAAGCTGGTGCTGGTTCAGTGTAATGGACTCTCCTTTAGATCTTTTGCAGTCCCATTTCTAATTTTGACTGACTGTAAAGAAAACTTTTCTTTATAGGAATACTGCTTATATAGCAGGGGAGGGGGACGGACGACAAACTATTCATCTGAATTTAAGAGTGAAAAGTGCCCTTATCCTAGTTGTTTGCTGATCTGATCCTGTCATACAAAAATACTTTTAACTAAATCTGTATTGCTCCATACGCATTAAAGATAGATGTGCCATAGAAAAAGGCTGGAAAGCAGCTTTCATGAAACATGCTAAGCCATTATTTGTTTCTATAATTTACTAAATGAACCATATGAACATCATGCAAACAGTGCTTGTGTGAAGCCAGTTTGTCTTTAACAGGGAAAAAGCCCACTCCTTGTTCTGCTCTTATTGATAGAACAGTGGCAACATTAGAGGATTGTTTGCAAATAAAATAACATTAGAGCTGATACAATGTAACTTATACAAATTCACTTTCCAGATAACATTGGATTGTTTCATTTTTATTTTGGAATCTGTTAGACTCCAGTGCCAGGGTTGATTTTTTTTAGCTGCAGTTTGGGAAACAGGCAGTGGTCTGGCCCCACTGAATTTGGTAAATCACCACTAAAAAGGGTACAAGTAATGATAAAAGTTGGGAATAAAGTTTATTTTTCCTATCTCCAGATGTTCCTCTTTACCTTGAAAAGATCAGTCACAAGAATCTGATAGCCTTTTTCTGATTTTCTTTAATGCATTTCTTCAATTAAAAATTGCATATGTAGAAAATGTGGAGTTCAGTAAAATTCTTGAAGGGTATAGTTAAAAACATAACACTTTTCAGTTAATTGGGGGAAGACAACTGGTTAATCTGGATCAATCTATAACACAGTGAGTTAGAAAATCACACTTTTATTTAATAACTTCAAAATATCATGTAGGCCCCCAGCATAGAGTTCTCAATTGGTAAGAGTGATTAGTGCATCTACCACATTGCCCATGTGTTCTCGTAAGCTGCGTTCTGCTGCTGCCCTAGATATCTCCATCTCATTCATCTAAAAAGAAGAGAGAAGGTAATTTTTAGCCAGTACAAGTTGCAGGTATCCACACAGACCTTTCTGAGATATCAAATACCTCTATTAAAGTCAAGCCAACTTGTTAGTTCTATGCTAGACTTACAATCAATTCCAGATCCTCTTTCTTGATGGTGACTTTTGCCAGCTCTTTTTCTCTACAACAAAGAGAAATGGCTCAGGATTATATTCATCCAGACAATAGTACAGTCCTTCTGGCCCCTCTTTTTCATACAAGTATGCCAGAGAGAACATAACAGATTAATACTGCCTATATAACAGAACCCCCAAAAAGCCCAGGATTGGTCTTCCAATAGCAAAGAACCCCCAGACATTATCAGACATTAAAACATTTATTTCGGCTATGGCAAGTAAGCTCAAACAATAAGAACAGTTTTTAATGCCAAGTTCATTTCAAATGAATTTTGAACAAATTTTTCTAAAAGGGAAATTATATGATAGTTTAGTAAAGGCTATAGAAAACATCTCAGTTTAACAGAGTTAGAAGGGACCTTGTAGGTCTTTTGGTCCTTCCCACCCACCCACCCTGCCCAAGCAGAAGACCTTAAAGAAGTTATCAAAGAACATGCCAATCTTCCTGAGTTTTCCAACTACTGTCAAGACAGGTATAGTGATAGGATTTGCATTTGCCTGGGAAATAATATTCCACTCTCTTGATGTTTTCACTACCACCCTTAAACTCGCAGCCATGATTTCCATCTTGGAAATCAGTTAATTCTGTAGTTTTATAACTATAAGCCCCATGCTGCTCTTTGGGAACAAGTTTGGAACTGTTCAAGCACTCACCGCTCCTGCTTTGCTTTCTGCTCTCTAGACCTCCGGTCTCCTATCACTGACATGGCCTAGGAAAATCAAAACAAAAGGAAAACTTAAGAGATCTGAAAAGTTTGCATATATAAAAACAGATTATGCAGCAGGCATTATATAAAGTTTCACATCCAAAAGTTTTTTAATTGTTTTGAACTCTTTCTTTTCAGTGGTTCTTCATTGTGGAATCACTTGAAACTGCAGAAGGGTAGTGTGGACTCCATGCACAGCAGGAGTTCCAATAAACCTGAGTCAAGGAATAAAATAATTTTATTCTGCAGAATTCTTGTGTAAGAGTACTCCAAAAAAGCAATCTGATTACTCAGATAAATTACAACGGTCAGATTTATATAGATAGTAAAATCCCAAACTCCAAAGATTTCTGGAGCAACAGTATAATAGTAAAATTTGCAATGTCGTTACGTGGGAGCAGAAGTCTTAAAACATGCTATAAAGCCAGCTAAAAACATGGCATATTGTGACTTGTAATTTACATATTTAGATAAAATACTTAGGTTTGTCTAAAACAGTAATGTTTCTAATGATAAATTTAAAAGAACATGGCAAACACCATGTATTAAAACCATAAAAGACACAGGAGGGCACAGATGTTGTGTTAATATGTAAATCTAATAATATTAGATTTTATTAATGTTTATTTTTTATTTTATTTTTACAATTTTAGAATTGTAAGCTACCCAGAATTAGTTGAGTTGGGCACTACAGAAATTAAATAAATTTGAATGCAGGGGTGATGTAGAGAATTAAAGGCTTAATTATGGGATAGATTGTGCGTCGAGAAGTATGAATTAACCTCATCTACATCGCTGTGGGTGAACAGATAGTTACAGGTTACCTTTTAGCCCGTGGGAATATGGACAGAACTTGAAATTAGTTTGAGGGGAAAGTAATCTTCCAATCCACATGAATGCAACCCAAGAAAAATCAATGTTTCTGGGCCATTCAAAGAGAAGAGAAGGAAATCTAAGGCCGGCTGCCTAGACCTAGAGCAACGAGCGGCCACGCGGGGCGCTTCTCGGAGGCAGCGGGAAAGCCCCACGGTGCTGGAAACCTTTTCTTCTCCCCACCGCCCCGCACCGTTTCCAGGTTGGAGCTCTGGATCTCCTTCTCCTCCGCGTAGTCGGTCACGCGCTCTAGATCCGCCGCGCCGCTGTCGTGTTTCCGCGGCTTCTCAGCCGGGCGCCCACCAGCGCCATCCCCGCCGACCGCGGAGCCGTTGGGCTCGGCCTCCAGTTCCAGCTCGACGTCTCCTTCAGCCGCCATCGCACCGCCGACCCCACAATGACGCACTTCCGGGACGGCGCACTCGGGCCAACCGCAGAGCTCGGAAAGGGAAGCCTGGACGTAACTTCTGGTAGCGGCAGCTACCGCTTCCGGCTGACGGGGGGGACGGAGGCACCAATGGGGATGGCGGGGACTTTAGGAGCAGCCAGGCGGCAAGGGTAAAGTGACCAGATTTTCAGATTGGTAAAGAGGGACACCTTTGACCGGGACGGGGGTGGGGGGCTTGATTAAAAATTTTATACGGAGCAACAAAAATATAACGCAAAAATAGTATTGTAATTTTTTTTATTTCAACATAACTACAATTTATAAATATAAATTGTAACTCTT